AGTATGAATGGTATTTCCACTTCCATTTGAAAAGTGTGACTACGGGTGCCATTAATAATAATGTAGCATGTTTATATTTATTTCTAAAATGTGCTTATAGAAATATGTATTATATTCCCACAAGTAATATTTCATTGATACATTTATGTATTTTTGTTGACAATTATCAATTCTAAGACTTGCTTAATACTCTTTATGTATGATCATGAGTGAGTTGGGGCCAAAAGAATTAACATATTCCAGCATATTCCTAATGACTTTTTTATGGAAAAACTATTTTAAGTGTTGATGGTACCTAAAATGATACACTGCACTAACCATAGGGGCAAAGTGTACCAATGCAATAAAATATTCTTTCAATGCGGGCCAGAAGTTCTAACAAGGCACAGACTGCATTAACAGTTGGATGGAAATTATCCCTGATGTACTTGTCCTTGATGCTCAAAGGTAATAGCCACTAGATGGACCATATTTGGAAAACCAAAATTCTGTGAGCAGCTGCTCACAGGTGAAAACTCTGTAAGCTTTTCATTTTTGGGAGCTTCACCACTTAAACACATACCAAACATATGCCATTGCTTGGGCAAATGAACACAAACCCTTACTGTTTTTTACCAATTCAATTGAATTGCTACTTTTTCATACTGCTCCCAGCTGTTCCAAGGAGACTGCATGTTGATGAGAGAATTGCAACTAGAGACTTAATAGAACACTTTTTATCAACAAGAAATGTGTTTAAAGTAGTAAATTCACTATCTCAAAATCTGCACTGGTTATTAATACAAGCAGTGTTCTTTCCAATATACAATGTAGTCATGACCTTAGGTTATTGCCAACTGCACTTTCTTTCCTTTTGTCCTTCTTTCCTTATTTTAATTTCTATAAACACTAAATTAATGAACTTTTTACATTTTTGATTCACAGGTACCTCTATGTTTTAGACCTGTTGATTATTTCTCATGATATAAAAATGTGATAGTCAGGCATTGTAGCACAAGCCTATAATCTCAAAAGTTGGGAAGCTGAGGTAGGAGGATCTCAAGTTCCAATCCAATCATAAACTATATAGCAATGATTCCATCATATAAGAATTTCTATGTCATATATATGGGTGTCATATGTATTAGACTAATTTCCCAAATGCATTAATGCTAAGTAGGATTTATAATTTTTACATTTTACAATTTTTATCCTGAGTTTTTCAATGTCAATTCAATCAGTGCACTTAAAACTTAGCCAGAAATAAAAATAATTAGAATAAAATTATACAAGTAAAGTGTTGCATCAAGAAGATAAGGCAATTCTCAAAATGTGTGCACCAAAAAGCAAAACACTCGTTACAGGAGGCAAAAACTAATAGAGATGCAAAAAGGATTAGAGAAATTCACAAATACAGTTGGAATCTTCCTCACCATGCCAAATGGGTGGCATACCAGTATACCTTACTTGGGATAATGACATAATATAAAATTAGCAAGAATATAGGACACTGAGTAGCATCACTAAGCAAGAGAGATTCTAACTGACACAGATTGTTTAAGGAAATATGTTGAAGAAAAGCAAGACCCACTCTTGCTGTGTCTACTACTAACAACAATAATGAAAGGACATCATTGGGATATTGAAAGCAGAAAATCTATATAAAGTAAACCCTAAGTTACATTCTCAAAAATCTTAAAAATGTATGACAAAAATCTTTGTGTTATAAACAAATTGATTACATGTAAAGACCCTAATATAAATCTTTTTGATAAATTTTCTACAGTTTGCAGTTTGTGAAGCTGAAAATGAAAATGAGCTGGACAGATAGCAGTCCATAACTGTAGTCCAAGCATCTAAAAGCTGAGCTAATAGAATTGCTTGAGCCCAGAAACTTGGGACCAGTGTATGCAATATATGGAAGTACAGTTTCACAAATAAATAAATATCATTACCACAGTCCAGTAAATTATCACAATAAACATATATATATTACTTATCTGATAAACTAAAATAACTAAGTCATTTGCTGTGGATATAGGATAGTTATGTGACATAGCGACATATTCAAGAAAAGACCAAAAAATGGTATACTTTTATATAATGAAATATGAGCCTATCTGAGGTTTTCTGAATTATTTTTTCTTAATCTTATATAAATAAAATTTCCAAATGGATTTGTTGGTTCTATATTAGTATTACATATCCAAGAGTAGACAGGAATGGATAAGATTTTAGGAGGGATCCCCAAATCATCTCACTGCTTTTTATTATTGAAATAGCATATGTTTATTAGGAGGGCCACACTGTGACCCTCAGGCATCCAATCAGGCACAAAGTGCACTTGTCCTATCTTTTTCCAAACCTTATACTATATGTAACTATGACTAATTAGTTGTGCAGGTGTGATTTGTGAGGGCTATTGAATGGTAAAACCATTCAATTAACATAGCTTACCTTAACTAGGTACAATGAAGATAACTCATTAAAATGAAAAAATATTTGCACAGGTAAGTTGAAATTACATCCCTAAAAATGAGATAGAAGCCTTGGAAGCAACCTAAACATAATTACAAGTGTAGTGTGTGTGTGTGTCTCCATGAATGTTTTAATTCTTAAAAGAGTAATCAGGCTGAGATGTAGCTCAGTGGCAAAGCACTTGCCAAGCAAGTGCAATGTGCTAGGTTCAATCCCCAGTATGAAACACGAAAAAAAATACAGTTGAAATAAACCCAAACAACAGATCTCTAGCTTTCTGTCTTTCATTATTGTTTCAGTTCATTACTATCAGAAAACGAAAGCTAGGAAGCTGGAGGGTTAGATAATAATCGGGAAGATTGAACAGGCTTTCATGGGCATTTGCTCTTAGTGAGACATCCTTTCTCAGGAGAGCCTTGTAATTTAGTTCAGATAGTGTCCAAATTGCATGGCTGCTGAGCATTATTGGAGGAATGACAGACTAGATGGTGAACTGAGCAATGTGTAAGTCACAATCTATCCATCTGGAATTAGCAAGCCAAGGCAAGAATTGCCTTATGCTTACCATGAAGGTCTTTCCCAAAATAAAATATATTTTCTTCATCTGAAAGTTCCAGCAAAGCATCACTGTATCTATCATCATACTAACACTGACTTTCTGATTCATAATTCACTGAAGACCAGCAATAGCTTTCTGAACTAAATGCTAGGCATCTGGGATAACATTTCTAAAGTGTTGTTTCAGTAAAATCCAAAATTAGTTTTAAGTTTATTGATCAAGTTGGCTTTGGAAAAAATATAAAAAATTGTGAAAGGTAAAGATGTAAATCATACACATTGATGTGATTGGGAAATGTGTATAATCCAGGTTTTACCCATTGAAGCATTTCCTAAATTCTTTTTTTCCCCTAAATTCTTATATGATGAATTACTGATAAATACTTTATGGCATTATTCATATCTTGGCCTATATTTACATGTAATTCCTTTAATGAGCTGACAGAAACAGCAACAAAAGTGTTAATACTATCAAGAAATCAAACACAGTGAAAATTTTCAGAAATCACCTTTTATAGTTGGTAGCCCTTTAAACTTATGCAACCATAATGGAAATCAATTTGGAGGTTCCACCAAAACAAAATGTAGAATTATCCTATGATACAAAAATATCCTTCTTGGGCGTTTATCCAAATGAATGTTAATCAGAAAATAACAGGGGAACTTGTATGTACATGTTCATTAAAGTATTATTCATTACACTCAAGTTATGGAAAGAACTCAGATGCCTTATAATGGATGGATCTGACTTCATTGCTTTTACCATGTCTTCTTACCATATTCTTTATTATGACTAATATTCCATTAAAGGGATGTTCTTCGCCGCCCAGACCCCCCCACCCCCACCCCACGCATTCTCTAGATCATGGTAGGTTGGTCTTTAAGGATGGTATTGCTATGAACTTTTGTACCAGGCACTTTTTGCATGTGCTTTCTTTTCTTTGGATATATATATATATATATATATATATATATATATATAGTCGTGAAATTGTGGTTTACATGTTAATTATGGTTTACATTTTGAGGAACTGTGTAAACTTTCCCAAAGCATATGAACCATTTTACATTCCCACCACCAAGATCAGAGTGCCTCCTTTTCCACATTCTTACCTTCTATTTTTTTATTATCATCAGTTTAATGTTTTTGGACGTAGGGGAGGTAGTTTTGACAACTACTTCAATGATCTTGTCTGTTGATTCTGACACCTATTTAAGTGACCAGTGACTAATATTTCTTTTCATTGTAAATTTTCATTGAGTCAAGCTTGTACATTGTTCCTCCCTGCCTTTTTTAAATTTCATCTCTGATGCAAAAGTTACTTTATTAATTTACTTTATTAATTCTTCCTCTGTATAGTCTCCAGGCATCATTACAAACCTCTGGGGAAACTTCTCCAGATGCTGCTGTGTGTGCAAGTGAGTATTCAAGAAGACTGCAGAGCGCCGCGCTTCCTCTCTGAGCAGTTCTCTCCTTTCTCGCACATTGTGCAGAAAACAAAGCTTCCTCAAGATTCCAGAAACCCGAGGAGCGCTGGGCGCTGCCTGCTGCCCCTCCGTCCGGCTCAGGAGCGGTCTGCGGAGCTCACACGGTTCCCTACATCGCAGCTTTTTAGTGGACAGACCCACGGTTACCACTGCAGTAGTAACTTCATTAAAGGGGGCGCGACTGCCATTTCCCCTGAAAGAGAAACTCAGGGGAAAGTTTTACGTCTCAGAACTTAAAATGCGTACACGGTGCGCAAGCGACCGGCTTGCAAAACAACCCACTTCCGCTTTCCGGCAACGCTTATGAGCTATGGCGCAGGCGCAGGAGCGGCGTTAGCCGGTCTCGGTGTTTAGTTACCACTGCGTCTGCGTCGAGGCGCGGGCGGTGAATCTGAATTTACCAATTAGAGAGCTCAAGATTCCTTAGTGCCCGCCCACGCCCTCGGCAGCCAATCGTCTGCCCTGGCGCGCAGTTCCTGGTGAATCCAAATCAGACCCAAGTCTGCGGAGCGCGGTGCAGCCATGGAGGCGTCTGAGACCGCGTTGGAAGCCGCAACCCTGAAGTAAGTGTTTGTGGCCGGATGGCAGCTGGGAGCTGCCTGAGATGGGAGTTAGTGCTTATACCCTGATCAGCTGTTGGGGCCCGACCCCGTTGTGAATTGATACTGTACTCAGTTTCTAGGGGTTTTATTCAGTTCCTGAAGGCCCCGCGCCGCGAGTATTGGCCTCCGTGGGCTGGTGTCCCCCTGTCCCTCCAGATGCGTCCTAAAGGGAACAGTTCCATTCCTGTCTACCCTTATGCCTTCTCACGTCTTCTTAGTGTCCACACCCCACAGCCATCCTACAAGGACACGTTGATTTCTGTCTCGCTGCTCCCAACACATTTCCCCAGTGGGCTCTTCTTTGAAAGGTGGAATGGAGCGGTCTCTAGCTCCACTTCCAGCTTTTTGGTGTTTAACTGAAGAGTGGCATGGAATTGACTGCCTGTGCCGACTTCGAACTGTGATCCTCACGGCGCAGCCTCTGGAGTAGCTAAGGATTCCAGGCTTGAGCCACCGGCATCCCGCCCCAGTGAGTTCTTTTTTTCCCCCCATCTCTGCCCAAGCAATGGGCAGATCCAGTCCTGTCAGGTCCCGAGACCAATGTGTGCATCTTCTAGAGCCCTCTGTCAGGTGTCCATTCTCAGAGATTCTGACACCCTAGCTCACAACTAGTGATCTCTTCTCAAGCTCCATCCAAGCTTTGCCCTTAATCTACCCTTCCGCTGCATACCTTCATGTCTTCAGATCTTGACCCAATAGTTATTTTTTTCTTTAACTTTTTGTTAACTTTTGTTTCATTCCCCTCCCATCACTCCCTTGATCTTTCACCTTTTCCTCATGACAGCACAGTATGCAACATGGACATGACTGTTGTCACACTGTTGGCTCTTCATGCACTTCTGCAGACTGGCCAGAGTGATTTGTTCAGCATTGACAACACTCATCCACAGATGTACATTTGTATAGCTGTGTTTCATTGCTGTTTCCTTGTTCCTCCAGGGTCCTGGATGAAGCAGCACATGTGCTAGAACCCATGGGCCTGCAAGAAGAGACAGAATTGCCGGCCAGGATCTTGGCTGAATTTGTGAGGGTATGTCGGAGGTGGGCCCTAGGTTTCCCAAAGTTGGGAGCTGGCCCTAGATCTTCTGTTAAGTTACTGGGACTGTGAAAGGTGACCCTATTGGCTTACAGTACGAGGAGGTAAGGGTATTCCTTGCTTCTACCCTCTCAAACAGAACTCCAGAAAGAAAGACAAACTACTTTGCAGCCAGCTTCAGGTAGTTGACTTCCTGCAGAATTTCCTGGCTCAGGAGGATACTGCCCAGGGCCTGGACCCCTTGGTTTCTGAAGAAATGAGCCGTGAGTAGACAAGGGTTTGAGGTATAGGGGCTGGGCCTAGGTGGGTAAGGAAGGAGGAGATATGTTAGTTCTGGTATATGGCTAGTGGGGAGACTGAGGCCTAGTTTTAGGGAAGCAGGCTAGAGGACACCTTCGCTCATGCTCTTACTCCTGGTGCTCACCTCAGGACAGAAGGCCATTGCAGCCAAAGAACAATGGAAAGAGCTGAAAGCCACCTACCAGGAGCATGTGGAGGCCATAAGAAGTGTCCTGTCCCGGGTGGAGGAGGCCCAGAGGAAGCGAGTCCAGCTCCAGGAGGCCTTTGAGCAGCTCCAGGCTAAGGTACACCTAGGATACTTGAGGGAGGGAAAGGCAGGAAGAGAAAGAGGAAAGGATGAATAAGCTGAGCTGTAGTTACTTGCCCTGAAAAAAAAGTAATTTTCTGTCTCTCTTTCCCTTTCTACTTGGCAGAAACACATGGCCATGGAGAAATTCAGAGCAGCACAGAAGCAGTGGCAGCTGCAGCAGGTGAGTTCTTCCTTTTCTCTAAATTGTGTTCCTATTTTAAAGTGCTCAGGTTCTTCCCTCTCCTCCCCTCCCCCCCCTTTTTTTGATTAGTTTGAGCATTAAGCTAGATTAATCTGGAGGGGATTGGGAGTTAGATGTAAAGCGTCATTTGATGAGCTATGTTCTCTCACTCCTCTTAGGAGAAGCATCTACGGAATCTGGCGGAAATTTCTGCAGAGGTAAAGGAACAGCAGATAGCAACTCGGCAACAGCTTGAGCGATTGAATCAGGAACTTGAAACTCTAAAACAGCAAGAAGGGCAGGAACAAGACAAATTACAGAGGTGAGATTTAAGAGTGTGGACTGAAGACTGAGGTAATCCATCTGAGATTCCTTCTCTTCACGCTTATGTCCTCCTTCCAGGCACCAGACTTTTCTCCAACTGCTATATACCCTACAGGGTAAATCCTCTATCCCTGAGTCTGAAGACAAAGCTACCATAGGAGCTGCCCCTGCACCTTCATCTCCCTAAGGGTAAGGATAAACCTATTAATTAATTCAGCCCCAGGATAAGAACAATTGGAACATTATGGGGAAACTCCTTGCTGTGTCTTTCAGGGTACAAAAGGGGACTGGCAGGTTTAAAGAGAAGTTGGGAAGCTGACATTACCAATTGTTGGGCTCTACTTCTCTGAGATCAGAAGTCCACAGTCTTTAGAAAACCTGGCTCACTAGGGAATAGGAACATGGGTAAGGATCCTAGAGTACTCAGAGCTCAAACTCAGACTTTGATGTCTTTGATCTACAGGCGTGGAAAGAGAGGGGGCTTCTGGTTTACCTCCTTTTCCATCTGAGGTCTGCTGTTTGTCCAGTAGAGAATCGAGTTTGGAAGTGGGAAAAAACGTGTTACAGTTGAAGGGTTGAAACTTAGCACATTGTTCTCATGCCTGACTCTCCTATGGTAACTCTTGCTTTCTTCTTCTCCAGCAGAGTGGACCATGAACTTGAGTTCAACTGTTTCTGACCATTATAATTTCTAGTGTGTGGGTTTTTGTTTTTTTTTTTTCAATTACAAACTCCAGCTGTCTCTGTTACCTATTTGTTACTTTCATAATATGGTGGGAAGAATAACAGTCAATCAAAAGCTAGTTAACATTACAACAGCTGGGACTGGTATTAATGAATGGAGAGAGAATGGGTGGTCTGATTAGTTGTTTGCTCAGATCATATGAGGCAGATATTTTGAGCTTAATTCTAAGTGGTTAGACCAGAGAAAACAATTTTATTGATTCATGTGGTTGTTGGGTTCTTACCTTGTGTCAAGTAAGATCCTTGATGTGAATGCAGGTAGCAGCATAAAACAGTGAGCACCCCTAACCTGTTTTAGAATGACCAAATGTCTTTTTGTTCATTATAGTTCCTTGATCACTCTTTGATCATTCATTTTAATTCTAAGATTTGCTTTTGTAATCTACTATTACTTGTTTAGTTGGATCTTCTGTTTTTCAGTGGAAAAGTAAGTTCCTTTGTAATTTCCTTTTTTTAAAATTGGAATATAACCTGCAGTATTTGGACTTTTATTTGTTTTTTCAAATAAACATTTAAGATTATAAATTTATTGACTTTCAGTTTTTCATGACATTTTCCACTTTCTGTTGTTTCTTTCTCTTTCTTTCTTTCTTTTTTTTTTTCATTTTTTGGGGTTTATAAACACCTCTTTGCTAGGTTAGGCTTCATAGAATGAATCTAAAATATAAAGAAGACATTTTAAACACCAAGGAAAACATAGATGGTTCATTAATGAACCATCCTTTTTATCTTGTCTTGTTTTATTATTTATTTATTTAGGTGCCAGGGCTAGCACTTGATCTGAGGGCCTGGATGCTGTCCCTGGGCTTTTATGCTCCAGGCTAGTGTTTTACTACTTGACACACCTCCACTTGGCATTTTGTTGCTTAATTGGAGATAAGAGTCTCACAGATATTCTTGTCCTGGCTGGCCTTGAACCATTATCTTCAAATCTCAGCTTCTGACTGAGTTACTGGCACCCTGTGGCCTAATCTTAACTAATAAATTTGTTCAGCTTATTCTGGCCATTTATCTTCTCAAACTTAGGTTTTTTAATCATTTTATTTAGATGGTGCTTTATATAACTTATCTACAATTTTTCATTCCTTTTTTCATTGTTTTTAAGTAGAATAATTTTACCATCTAAAATAAATACCACCTGATTTCCTTTGGTTTGTGTGTATATATCCTATATATTCCATTAGGTGCTTTTTTTTTAAGTGCAAAACATTTTTTGTGTTAACATGGTTCCTGAAAAATTATTCAGAAACTGATTTGTAGACAGGAACTATAACTTAATATGTTAAAGGTGTATTCCCTAGTTACCTGGTTTTCACTGTTAATGAGAAATCAGTTAGCTATTTAAAACCTCTTCTTTAATATTTTTCCTTTCAGCTTTATTAAGGTAAGCCTGGCTTAAAAATATGTATATTTATGAATATATATTGTGATAAATTATGTCTTGTGAAACAAATCTATTTTTTTGCATATTTTTATGAGACTACTTCAGATCTATCCTCTTAGTAATTTCTAAATATACAATACATCGTTATTGGTTACAGTCACCATTTTATGTACTAGATCTCCAAAACTTCCTCATATGTTCTCCTTGGCTACTTATTAAAATCCTCCACATTTGAAGGGCTTACTGTGTTATAAAGTCTTTCAAGTCTGCTTTTACTTGCAGTTGGTTGGACTTTCTATAATTGGTAGTTTTTCAATAATTCTAGAGCATTTTAACCTTAAGTTTTTAAGAAACATTCTTAACATTCCTTATCTGTTTCTGTCAATTACATTTAGATACCAGTTACATTTTCTTTATTTTTTAGTAAGATTTTTTTATTGTGAAAATACTGTACAGAGGGGTTACCGTTACATGAGCAAGGTAATGAGTACATTTCCTATCAAGCATTGTTGCCTCATCTTTTGTGTTTGTGTGTCATCCCCCCCTCTCCTGCCAGCCTAAATTGTAAAGTTTGTTTTTCAACATATTGCCTTGTGCATCTCATTGTTAAAATGGGTCCACCTGTATCCCTATTTAAACAATTTGTTTTTTCCCTTCCCCTCCCTCAATTTTACCAACATCAAATACAGTGAAAATGGGTTATACCATGGGGGAGGAACATACAAAGCAACAACAAACAATCACATGCTACCTTATAAATACGTTAGAAACAATAGCACTTGTGTCCCTATCTTGGGGTTCATTTTGCTTAACTTAATCTTATCTGGTCATATGTATATAGCCTTTGACCTTTTCTACATGTCCTATACATGTACTAGTTATTGCAAATAAAGGAAACCATGGGACCTATGTTTCTTTGGGCCTGGCTTACTTTACTTAACGTAATTTTTTACAGGTCTTTCCATTCCTAACAAATGGGGCAATGTCATTCTTTCTGATAAAGGCATAGAAATATATATACCATACCAGTTACATTTTCTAAGGCATAAACTTTCTTTTGAGTTTATTCATTCTAAATGAATTAGAGTTTCCTTAAATCTGTGTGTTAATAGATTTAAAAATACTATTAGTAGTAGTACTACAACTGTGACAAAAGTAAACCTTGCTCAAGGTACTATATCACAACCTATTGAGTACCTTTGATATTTATATGATGTCTTTCTGTCAAATATTCTTGATTTTTCTACAGAAGAGTTCCAGCAAAGCTGATACCATTTATTATTTCTGTACCATTTTGAAATTTATAAGAATTTAAAAACTCTGGCTTCATAGTTTTCGACCCATTCTGTTAATGTTCTGACAAGAACATTTCTTTATAATACCAGACTTGTAGTTTTTGTAGCAATGTTGATCTACAAAGGTCATAAATATACCTAAAAATAAATGCCTTTTTTCTTTGTCATCGGTATGAATTCAATGTAAAAGTGGGTTTGTTTTCTTATTGTAGCATTATTTTCATGAATGTATTCTTCCTAAAGGAAGTAAAATGAGTAGCTACAAGTGTGTAGAATTACTAGCCATAGTACCTGAGAAATTTGGGCTAACTTTGAAAACAGAATAATTATCTAGTTTCACACAATGTTAATTTTCTCGCATTTCAGAGCTGCTCTGAGGATAATACAATCTTATAGAACTTATGTAACTTGTACTAAAATGTTTATGTCTTCCTTTTAAACCTTTTTATGTCTTTTCTTTATGCATAAGTTTTGAAATACTAGTGAACTGTGAAATTAAATAAATTGATTTCATTATTATTCTCAGCCTAGTCTTTAAATGACCCTTTTGATACTTAGAATATTGGACTCTGAAGAACAGTGCTTGGAATTGTAATCTATTAATTAACAAACATGCTTCACTGAAACACTTTGTTCTTAAACCCTTTGTAACCCAGCAGGCATTAGTTCTGGCCTCAACATTTTTTGTTTGTTCTGAGCCTTTTTGAACTGACATATTTGTAAGGTATAATTTTCCCACTTAGTTAATTTGAATTTATAACTATTAACAATGATAAGGAAATCTTCATGGACCTTTACTCAAAATAAAATTTTAGATGGCATATTCATAAGCATTTTTCATTAAAATATAGTTATATGATATTTCAAATTGATTATATGTCTAATCACATGATTACAATTTATGCTTTATATGTGTATTTAAGGAAAAATATTTCTCTTTAGGAACAGAAGCTGGTCCAATCTCTAAACAAGTGTGACTTGGATTAAGATGACTAGATAGTCTACAATTAAAGACGTAATTTGAAATAATCTTTTTAATGAAATGTAGAATTACCTTTAGTAACAACTAAGCAAGCATGCTTTCTTTACTCCACGGAGATAATGGAGTAACTGGAGAGGAGACACTGATTTTAAATGGACTGTCATCCCTACCTTTTCTTCCAGTGTGCCATTTATAATATGAGAAAAAGGAGGAAAATGAAAAAAAATGACTGCTTCATTATAAGAATTCAACAGTAAATATGTATAATGCATACATGGTGCTCACCTACACACACAAACACAAAATTGGCAGGAGGCTGGAGTGAAGGCAGGAAGTGAATGTGACTGACAGATTGTGTGTTTTTTTTTTTTTGAATTGCTGATCCTGTCATGACCATTGCTCTCTGAATTCCTCTGAATAGGAACATATTTATCTTTGCATTCTTAGATAAGTATATGTAACAGAGACCTCAATTTTGAATAGAACTTAGTAAGTGTGTATTGGATGGTATAATGGAAGGCTTCCCAAAGAGTTGCCATTTGAACTCAATTTCAAATAGATGAAATCATTGATGTGTAAGTTATCTCAAATAGTTATTGAATATTGTTATTGGCTGAATATAAGACTTGAAAATTACAAACAGTAGTCTTGCTTTGTCAAAGTTAAAGTTTGGAGAAAAAAAAACAAAAACTTGAGAAGCTAATTCTAGCAAATATATTGGTACTAAAAGCTAACCAATGTTTTGTCAGCAAGGAAACAGGATAATTAACATAAAAGAAACATCAGCAATGAGGTTTAGGATGTGAGAGACAAGTGTAATTGCAAATGCAAATGGCAAGCTAGGACTTAGAACTTTGAATAGAAGATACAAAGGTAGCAAAGACCTAGAGAGTTTGCAATGTTTTCATCTTGCTTTTGTTTTTGGTCTGTACCAGGGCTTGAACTCAGAGTCTTGGACTCTCAGATTGCTTGCTCCTAGCTGTTACTCTACTACTTGACTCACATCTCCAGCCCAGCCTTTTGCTGGTTAATTGGAATTGAAGTCTCAGACTTTCTCCCTAGGCTGGCTTGGAACCAACATCATTCAGGTATCAGTCTCTAGGACTACAGATGTGGGTTTTTCAAACTACTGTTATGCTTATAAAGTCAAAGCCATCTCACTCTGAAGCTATAGCAACCAATAGAAGTTTTCTACTCTGGCAAAAATCCTCCAAGTACATTTTAATATATTGAAATAAAACAGGGAAGTCATGCTCACTGATGAGTTTTTGACAAATAACTCATTTAGAAAAGCAGAACAAATTCTTCCATCCTTATTTGCTTACTGGGACTTGATAAAATGACAGCTGAAAAGCTGAAGCCATTTTAGGCAATTAAGTGTCATATGAGAGCAACCCTGGAATGGCACCAGAATTGAGCCTCTTTTTTGAAATGTTGCTACTTTGAAAGGGCTACTTTAACAGAACACAGGGATTGTAATTATGCCCACATTTTTTGTGCATAATCACTAAACCGCCTCAGTGACGCTAGTATTCTGGGATGGTGACAGTTACCAATCAAAACAAGAACCCACCTGGAAAGTAATGAGCCCCCTAACTCCCAGGCTGGTGCTTTTTGATAATAGTCACTGAGTGCTCATGACATTCTGAAAACTCTGGAGAGCATTTGCAGCTTTGCTGAGTCCATAATTGCACCGGAGTAATAAACTCTAGCAAAGTTTTACAGGTAACAATTGAAAATAGGAAGGCAAACAATTCATCTGTAATGGGAACATTAATAAAGAATGGGGTTCACTTTCACATTAATTGACAAAATCAGTATAGATTGTCAATAACTATGAATCCTATGCTAACTATACTAACTATACT